ATGTCAGAGGGGTAATAGACTGGGGGAGGGGGATTATCAATTTGTGAGGGGTGAAATGTTTAACTAGTCCATTGTTTTGTACACCTGAAATTTATAATTAAAAAAACCCCAAAAAACAGGAGTTCTTTTGCAGCAAGCCACCTAATGGGATAGCATGAAAATGATAAACACCAGGAGAGTATTAAAAAAAGAAAGTTTTGTTATATGTTTATTGGGTTTCAAATATTACTCTTATGATATTTATGTAATTTTGATATATCTAATTCTCTTCCTTCTACTGAGTTATCGATTATGAATATTCAAATTAGCATCCATATTTCTAGCCTTGGTAAGCCTAGCCATTATTCTAATTATCGAATAGAAACTGAGTACTACTTTGGTTTATATGAAGCAAAGCAAATTAAATGAAAATTAAATTGACCTTATTTTCCCTAATGTAAACAAAATGAAAAGCAACAATTTTGAATACTCATGGACAATCAAGTCCATATACAACTCTAGTCTGCTCAGACAAATCATAAAAGCACCATGATAAAGACACAGAGGTCAAATCAATGCAGTGAATCAGTGAGTATTTAGACATCACCTTCATATTGTTTATGCCAACTATTTGGCCCATCTATATTACCTCCACTTATTGAAATCAGAATGTCTTGATTTTCTAATTCCCTAGAACACTTGTGTTTTACTAGGTAAGGTAGTAGAGCTTCCAAGCCAAGAGAGGAAGTATAATTTCTAGAGTGAGGATAATAGTTTTGTTTGAATTGTGTATTACATTATGAAAATGAAGAGAAAGGAGAAAACGAGAACTTGCTTCGAGGATTAGAAAGGCAGTGCATTGGTGAAAGAAATACCCTGTGTTACTTGCTTCTGAGCTGAGCCCTGGGTTTTGTCTTAGGAGGGAGGACGGGCTGACGTATGGATCAGAAGATGCAGGAAAGAGCAGATACTGAGGTAAAAGACAAGACCATGTGGAGTTTAGACCAAACATGAATATGACGGACCTTGATACACTGATCCACAGGACTTTGTTGTAAACTCCTTTGGGAGGTTAGAAGTTCTATGTCTGTAGCCTTTCACTTTATTCATTTCTACGTTGGCTCCTTGATTACAATGTGCTGTTATTGAACTGCCTTATTAGGAGAAATCAGTGGTATGGGTGAAAATATAAAGATGGTAATGAAATATAATGTAAAGGGTCAGGTTTTCATGCCAACAGCAATATTCACATCCACATGTATAAGTTAATTCCTAGTTAGATAGGTATATGGCCAGTATGTGTAACTTTTCTATCATCAGATTAAACTATCATTTGAACTTCAGAATCTGATATTCAGTAGTAACACATAAACATCATCAAATACACATCATAATGAAAATATGATGATATACTTTTAGAGAGATTCCACATTTATTAAGTTCGATGTTCAAAAGAAAGTAAAGATTTACACTGAGAAAATGGTATGAACTAAAAATCCTCCCATCAAAAAATAGCATCCTCAGAGCAATGACCACTTTAGGCTCACCAGAGAGGAACACAGCAGATGGGAGATGGTAAAGGTAAAAGAACAGAACCTTAGGGACACATGGATAATACAATGCTTCTAATATATGTGTTATAGGAGTCCTCGAAAGACAGGAAAGTGAGAAAGGGCAGGAAAAAGATACATAATTAAATAATTCCCAATTTCCCCAAATTTGGTGACAAATGTTGACTTACAAATCCAAGAAAATCATTGAACTCAGTGAAAGATAAATACCAAGAAAGCCTCACCTAGACGCATCACAGATGCTGAAAGCTAAAAAGAAAAAGAAAACCTAGAAAGCAGCCAGAGGGGGGAAAAAGACACATAACTTATAAATGAACAAGAAGAAAAATGTTTGCTGAGTTCCCATCAGAAACAGTGGATGTCAGAAGACAGTGGATGTCTTTAAAGTGCTGACGGGGGAAAAAAATCCTCAGAATTCTATACCCATAGAAAACACACCTCAAAAATTGAGTGAAATAAACACATATTCAGATAAATGGAAGGTGAGAGAATTGGATCCAGTGGGTCTGCAAAACAAAAAATAATAAAGGCATTCTTCAAACTGATGGAGGAATGACACCAGATGGAAACATAGATCTACAGAAATGAAAGAAAAAAAAAAAGTGTGCCATGAATGGCAAATCAGTGAATGGTATAAAAGACTATTTTCATCACTTCATAATTTCCTTAAAAGGCAACTGACTGTTTAAAACAAAATTAATAGCATTGTAAGGTGGACTGTACAATATATGTTGAAGTAAATATATGACCAACAAAGCGCAAAAGTTGGGGGTGATGGAATAATACCATTTATTTATACTACTAATAAATGGAATCATACTATTGTAAGGCTATTAGATTTGTGGAGCGTAAAGTATGAAGTGTGAAAAGAAATGTGTCAAGTGTAAAGTGTAAAGTAGTACAATTTTGATTCTGAATAGACTGATAAGTTAAGAATGCATTGTTAGCCCTGGAAGAATGCTAAAAATTAATTTAAGAAAAAGATCTAAGGAACCAATAGGAGTGATAGAAACAAGATACCAATGAAAGGTGCAACAGAATGAAAAACAAATGGAAGAGACAAATGGAAAATAATTAACAAGGTGATAGACTTAAACACACCATAGCAAGAATCATATTCAATGTAAATATAATTTAAGTAACATTAAATGTAAAACATTCCAATTGAAGGTCAGAGATTGTCAGGTTAGATAAAAATGCAAGATATAAGTATATGCATCAATTAGACATGGACCTTAAATTTAACAATATGCATAAATTGAACATAAAAGAATGGAAAGTGATATACCAGGGAAATGGCATAAGAAAGCTACAATAGCTACATTAATTGCAGAAAAAGTAGACTTTAAGACATTTTATGAGAGATAAAGGGGGACATTTATAAATCACAAAAGAACCAATTCATTAGGAAGACATAATCATAAATACATATGCATCTGATAGCAAAGTTTCAAAATTCATGAAGCAAAAACTGACAGCACAAATGGAAAAAATAGTAGTTGGAGAGTTTAACAGCACTCTCTCAGCAGCTAATAGAACAAGCAGACAAAGATTAGTTTGGGTACAGAAGATCTAAGCACTCTATCAACCAACTTGAGCTAATTGACATTTACAAAACATTGCACCCAGTAACTGCGAAAAAGTATACTGTTCAAGTGCATATGGAATGTTTATCAAAGTAGACATACACTACGTCAAAATAAAAATCTCAGTAAATTTCCAAAGATTTGTGTATTACAGAGAGTATTCCATGGCCAGAGTGTTAAATCAGAAACCAGTAACTAAACTAGAAATTTTCTAAACATTTGGGAATTAGATAACATTTATCTAAGTAACCCATGGCTTGAAGATGAAATCATAAGAGAATAAGAAAATATTTTGAACAAACAAGTGCTGGCGAGGTTGTGGAGAAAAGGGAACCCTGGTGCACTGTTGGTGGGACTGCAGACTGGTGCAGCCATTATGGAAATCAGTATGGAGGTATCTCAAAAAACTGGAAATGGAGCTACCTTATGACACAGCAATCCCACTCTTAGGTATCTATCCACAGAATCCAAGACACTAACCCGAAAAAATATATACACCCCTATGTTTACTGCAGCGCTCTTTACAATAGCCAAGACTTGGAAACAACCAAAATGCCCACCGATAGACGACTGGATTAAGAAACTGTGGTACATTTACACAATGGAGTATTACTCCGCTATAAAGAAGAAGAAAATCGTACCATTTGCAATGGTATGGATGGACCTAGAGAACATTATGCTAGTGAAATAAGTCAATTTGGAGAAAGACAAATGCCAAAGGATATCACTTGTATGTGGAATCTAAATAACTGAATAAATGAGCAAAGTAAACAGAAATAGTCTCAGAGATACAGAAGAAAAACTGATGGTTGCTAGTTGGGAGACAGGTAGGGATAAAGGAGAAGGGGAAGGGATTGGGCAGCGTAAATTGGTAACTACAATATTGCCACAGGGACATGAAAGACAGTTTGGAGACTATAATAATGTTGTAAATATTTTGTAGGGGGTCAGATGGTCTCATGTCTTGTTAGGGAGATCAATTCATGGACGGTGTAGATGCCTGACCAATGCACTGTACACCTGAAACTCAATAATATTGTATGTCGACTATAATTTTATACATACATACATATATATATATATATATATATATATATATATATATATATATATGGTCACGGGATATAGAGTATAGCATAGGGAATAGTCAATGGAATTGTAACAGCTATATATGATGTCAGGGGGCAATAGATTGGGGAAGGGGATTATCACTTTGTGAGGGGGGAAATGTCTAAATATTACATTGTTTTGTACACCTGAAACTAATAAAAAAATATTTTGAGTTGAATGATAATAAAAATACAAGATATCAAAATTTGTGGGAGTACTTAGAGGAACATTTATAGCTTTAAACGCCTGTAATAGAAGAGAAGGAAGGTTTAAAATTTTGATGTAAGTTTTCACTTTAAGAGCTATAGAAAGAGAATAAATTAAACCCAAAATAAGTAGAAGGAAAAAATAATAGAGTCAGTGCAGAGGTTTATGATTTGAAAATAGGAAAAATG